TTGTTGTTGTTGACATATTTATTTAAAGAGCAGTATTTTATTTTTGCTTCTTTTTTTTTATGCTTTAGCAGCCTTTCAGTTACAGCCTTGCAGTGTTCTCACAGGCACTATTAATTCTACATTTAAAATAATGTTTGTCTGAATATTTTTTATGGTATACATTAGAACTGCATATGTATACTTTAAAAGTTCTATCCCACCAAGAAGACTTTTGATGGTTTTTGATTACCTCAAAGAGATTGTCTTCTATTTTAGCTGCCCAAAACCTGTATTTACAGCTTTACTGAATAAAAATTGAAATTAAAAAGAATAAAAACCCCAACCCAATCTTTCAGGCCTGTTTTCTTCTGAAAACAGCCTTGACACATTAATCAATAATATAGCCAGTTTCATGCAAACAAACATCTGGAACCTTTCTGAAGATTTTGCAGTGATCACACTCCTTTCTTCTCTTCTTATAAACATACCTAGAGTGAGCCATGCATGTTTTGTCCCTAACGTCTGTGAAGAAAGGAATCTAGATTATTTTGGTGAGGGGGGGGAATGAATAATACTCAGGTCATTCTCAATACCCAGGTCATTCTCAAATATGGGAAATACTCTGAAAATTTATTTCAATAAATGTAATGCCTTCTCAGCATTCTCCAGGAGAGGGGGAGCTCTCAGGTATGCAGAATCCTGCATGTCCATCACAGACTGGAACTCTGTGTACCCTGTCAGGGATGCAGGCAACTGAGAAGGGGCATATGAAAGAACTCGAAAAAATTTTGAAAACTGCTGTCAGACAGCAGACCAAAGGAACTCATTGAAAATTTAAATGCCCCTGTGGAATCTTAGCATTTTGACAAACTGGTAAATGCTCCTGAGGAGCCTTTTTGTCTGACTTTTCTGATCATCTCCATTACTCAGCCTGGATCAGTTTAGACTTCAGCCACTGCAAATTCTCTGCCAAGCAGCCCGCTTCAGCTGAGCCAGCTCTTCTGCTGAGGGAAAAGTCAGCAGGATTTCAGACCATCAGAAAGGGTATCCCAACAGCTGGAGAGTTGGCATAAAGGAATTGGTGATGCCACTAATACCAACTCCAGCTAAGTGCTGAACCACTTTTCTAATTTTTTGACAAGTCAATGATGTTGACATTTTCCAGTGTGGTTACTTAGTGTTGGACAGCTGTAACCAGACTTGGCAAACACCTGTGCTTCACTTGCTTGCACATAGTTTAATCCTTCTGCCTCAGCTTCCCAAGGAAAATTGAGGATAATAAAATTGTTATCTTCATAGAAGAGTTGTTGTAATTAACATTTTTTTAAAAATCCTAAATGTAATTAAAATACACAGCAAACATTCCAGCTAAGGACAGATAAGGATATATAAATCTTCTACAATTTGTTATATGTATTCCTTTTTCTTCCTTTCTGTTTTTTATTTTCCCCAGTAATAATACCATGTCAGTTCAAGTATGGAAGGGGAATCAGAAGAAACCAGTGCTTGAGAACCATGTGCAATGTGATTTTAGTAATTACTGGGGGTTTTTTTACTTCCATGGGATGTGCTTTTCATCCTTCCTTTATCATTAATTTTATTGACTATATTTTGTTAGTTTACCCTTGACTTCCATCATCTGAGAAACTGGTCTGATCTAAGTCAGATAGGGAATTTTTTTAACATTTATGACCAAAGCAAGTTAGAAATGGTGCTGTAATAGCCTTTGCATTATTTTATAGTATGTCATGTGATGGTGGCAGCTACTTGTTTTATTCTTTGCCTGAGATTTTTTTCCCCTAAAATAAGCATCTTAAATAGAAATTATATCCTCACCCTTTGCTGTTCCCATTTCTTTGTATAACTTTCAAAAGCAGTGATTCAGAATAACTTAAGAGCCCACAAGTATAAATGAATCTGCCCCCCCTTCCTCCCAACAGGGGATTCTTTAAAATCTAGACTGTTTTTCAATATGGGCCTCCATTGATTTCGGCACTTTTGAAAATCAGGCCTTTTAGTTACATGCATATGTGTCACTTGAGGAAACAAATTTTATAATCCCAGTAGGAAAAGCTTGTCCTTTTCTCAAAAAAACAAGCTAGATTTTTATGCAAACACATGTTGCATTGAACATCTTTTAGCTGACTATATTCCTTGGCTTTTCCACAAGAACTGATGATCCAGAACTGTTTGAATCTCTGGTGGGCTAAGTATGATGACTGGTGCTGTTCTTGACAGAATATGAGTTATAAAAAGCCTGTAACTGTGACGCCTGCTGGATGAATTTTGATTAGAGAGCCCATTTGAAACTATGCTTTGTGCTTCTGAATTGTTTGTTTGACAAGTACATACTCCTTCAAAGCAGTAGCTACAATATTTGTTGTAAAAAAGGATGATGTATTTTTTGTTTTTGTAGATGTTGATTCAGAACCCTCAAGTTCAAATTTTTAATTCAGAGGTACCTTTATTTTAGCACTATGTAAAGTAACAAGGAAGAAACAAACACAAGATTCAGGCTGCTAACACAAATGGTAACAGGAGTAATTCAAAATTTATTACATTTCAGCTTCTTTTGTCTTTAAGGGCTTGTTTTCTTTAAGGTAGGGTATGAATAGAAACTTCTTAACCATGCAGAATTTGGAAAATAAGAGGTAAAAATATAAAAAACTGCCATTTCTTCCTTAGTGTACTTTTTCTTAACACAAACCAACAGGGAGAATCGATAGACTGTTCTAATAGCATAAGTTGTGGTCAATATGTTTGTTCACCTCTCTGTCTTCTCTACTCATTTCTGATGGAAAAATAGATCCAGAAGAGTTTAGAAATCATATAACAGAATATGGGAATTTTTTTAAAAATTAAAACTTCGAATGCAAGGCAAGCTTGAAGATTCCATGTCCTGTAGTTTATTCTATGCAAATATTAAAACCATTCCTCTGTGTCAAATAAAAAAATCACATACAAATAACTGGTAGCATTAGAGTGAGTTTACAAGAGGACCATGTTTCCAAGCATTTGGTGGGTGGGGAGCATGCAGGAAAAGATTTGCCAAGTTACTTTGTTGCCTATAGTAGGGTTCCTTCAAGTTATACAAGTATATTTGAATTTAGCCTTGATACTCTGCTGTTGGGATACTTGATTGTCAGTCATATTTTTGTAACACCAGTGCTTTTCTTGGAATTTTAATTAATATTTTGTATTGTCATCAGTACAGGCCAAATTTCACAATTAGTCCCTGCAGCTCCATTTTACCTCCTGAAGAGTAGCTCTCTTGTCACTCTCTTATTTCATTCCAGTCTGTGTCAGGTAACCATTTGGAGATAATATTTTTTTTTTTTTTCTGGAGAGTCTCCTACAGCCAGCATGAAGCCTCTAGTCCTCTGAAATGTACCTGTGGCTCCTGTAGGATACTTCAGCCATACCTCTACTTTATCTATGTTGAATAGTAAGGGCTGTGCAGACTCAGCGCCTTTTCTGTCCACTGACTTAAAATTTGTTTGTAAGAAGGTTGGAGTAGAAATCAGCTTGTGTAAGGATGCTTTGTAATGGATTTCAGAAGTCTCTATAATACAAATAAACTTATCTCAGGACGTGCAGAAGAATTTTAGGAGTCAATCTTTATTTATTTGCTTTAAAAGCAGACATGATCCTGGGAAAAAGATTATTTTTGGTAGGAAGGGCTTTTGGGAGTCCCTTATTTCTAGCATTTGGCTGAAAAAGGAAGTTTCCTTGCAGATGAGAACGATGAATATTCCTCATCCATGCTCCAGAAGTTGTCTGAAATCACTGTGACTTTGCATCTACATCCCTTTGAAAATGCACTGCTCCCCATGCAGCTGCTCCTGGATCAGTCCTGGCCTTTTCCTGGTGCCTGGCAGAGACTTTGCTGTCATGAGTGAGCACCACTGGTTTCTCCCAGTGAGGAGCAGAGATTGAACTGTTGGCCTCCATATAATTAGAAGTAAAATTGGCTTGTATCATGTATTGGTTAAAAGGCAGCTTTCAGGAAAACAGAAACTATTAGCTACCCACATTTAATAATGATTAAATATGGAAGTATAATCATAATATGACAGCAGGATCACTTATACAACAGGCAGTTGTATTATTTTTGGGAATGGGAAATTCTGCAATGAGTCAAATTTTTCTTTTCCAATCAGCAGCTGGCTTTAAGGCAGAGAATTCCTTGCATTGACTGTCTAGAATGCTGACTGTGTGTCTAGAATGCAGACTGTGGTTGGCAACTGCTGTTAAGAAATTTCCTGTGCATACTACCCCTCTTAGTGAATATCATTCTATTTTGAGCCTAATTGAAAACTGAAGATAGAAAACTAAGCAGTTATTTTTCCCTGCAGTACAATATCTAATATTCTGATTTCATGGCTGTCTGACTGCAATGATTGGGAAGGACATTTTCTCAAAGTGTTCACAGTACCACAGCAATGTGTCATGAACATTGCCTATCAAGGAAAGGAACTGTTACATTAAAATATGTGCCACTTAAAAACATACCCAACTGAAAAGTAGTATGCTGTTGTGTTACATTTGGTACAGTCAATACCTTGCCTTTTCTTGTCTTTTTCTTTGAAAAAGCTATTAAGAATGTAGAAAACAGCCTTCAGCTAGAAAGGCTTTAATAGGAGAGATCTGCAACAACAGAGGTAACACCTATGCAACAAAGGCGTTTTTTGTTCAGGACTCTCCTTCCATGTTAAGTCTACGATGCTGGGGTATTTTTGCTGGTCGAGAAACAGGATATGTGTGTGTAGTTGCTGGTGATTGTATAACTGAACAAGCTGAAACAAGCTACTCTGTGGGACAAATGCTTGTTTGTTAACCTCTGTGTTAAGTGGGAAAGAAACCCCCAATATTTACGACAGGACACTGATGAGGGGTAGTAAATAAGGAGAGAAATCTGTTCAAAATGTCCCATAATCTTACATAACAATAGAAAAAGTACTGTCAATTTAAAATGTTTGCTTTTTTTTTTTTTTTTTTTCTTTTTTTTCTTTTTATATCAGATAGTATTACTGAAGTCTTCACTAACATCTATGTGACCAGTTTTGGACCTGTGTCAGATACTGATATGGTGAGTTCCTGAATCTTTTGCATATATGGATAAATGGTGTAAGATATATATAAACTTCCTTTAAACCTGTATTCTTTTACTTATTGTGGATGGATTTGAAACAATCTCACTGAAATCAGAATGTGCCAAACCCCATGTAGTTTGAAATTTGAAAATTGATTTATGGACTTTACATGATAAGTGTGCTTGTGTTAGCTGTTTAATTTAGACCAGTAAATCTTCTGATTTTCCCACTGACTGTACTTCGGTTTATATTCTGGAGCAATCTTGATATGGATGAACTGGATTCCTCTTGCATGAAAACCTGAAAACCTGGAGTGAAAGGAGCACTCTTAATATTGGCAATAGACTGAGGGACCTGATGGAAGTCAAACTTGGAAGCTGGGTAATCAACATGATTGTGGGGTTTTACAGATCTGTCCTTGATAATTTGCATTGTTTAGTAAACATTTAAAGAAGTCAGTGACATTAAAAAAGAAAGAAACTTTCAGAATATTGCTCTGGATTATAAGTAATTGTTTGTAGGCTCACTGAAAATAGTACAGAGATTAGGGAGAATGTTTCACACTGGGTAGAAAGACCTGATGGATATAGCTCTCTAAAATGAAAGGGAAGGGCAGTCTCAAACTTACTTTACCTGTCATGCTCCTGTTCACTTGCCTGGTTTAGGGGGAGGTGATTTAATTGACTCTGGGAAATGTGTAGGAGAGAACAGAATTCTCAGAAGAGTCAACAACAATCTTTTACTTGCAAAATGTGGAACATCAAGATAGAATAAGATAGACTGATGGTAAAAAAAACATCCAAAGTAAGTACTTCACAAACTTTAGTTTAGCAAACTTAAACTTAGCCAAGCTTAACAAATCCAGATACAGGACACTTAATAAGGCATTGACAGGAATTTTTTAGTCTGGATGACAATGTGTTTTGAGAAGAAATGGAGAAAGAAAGAGAAGGAAAGGATAAGAGGAGAATGATATCACCATCTGTGGATTTAGTAACAAGACTCGATTTTGATGTCCTTTGGTCTAAATGGTATCTTGATCCATCAGGGGTGGGAAAAACCCACAAAACACAAATTCCAGAGGGTTTATATATGCTTAGCTTGAGATGGAATGCCAAGGCACCTTCCCTGGAGTGGGGAGTTTTATGCTGTCTTTTGTAGCACCTTGAATCTGTTGCAACGCTGTGGATCCTGCTCAGTCCTCTGATGGAAGACCCCAGGAATTATTCTGGGGGTATTTTTGGGGTCTTTGATGGTTTATGACATTTTCTAAGACATGACAACTGCCTCTCAGTCAGTGCAGTTGAGCCCCTTATGCCCCATCAGAAGGGATGAACATCTTCAGGCCTGTGTGTGAATGTCCCAGTATGTCCCCCAGGTGGGGAGGAGTTTCACAACTGAGCCACTTGTGTAAGGAAGGACATCAGCATGACAAAAAGTATTAATCCACCTCACAGGATCTGCTTCTTTTTGGCCTGCCTCTTCCCTTGTCTGTCTGAAACCCCAGCTTCTTGCTGAGCGAAGGCTGCTTTGTCATGGTCATCCCCTGGTGCTCACACCCTCTGCACCTGGGCTGTTACTGTGCTCATCCTCAGCAAAGCACCTGCTGCTCTTGCAAATGGCTGATTGTTTGAGCCATTAGCTATTAACATCTCAGTCTTTCATACTACCCTTGCCAACCCTGCGAGAAATTATTTTTGAAATGTTTCAAATATTCTTTATTATGTATGAGACGTATTAAATACTACCTTGGTGTAGCTGGAGATACTCAAAATTAATATTTTTTAAAATAAGACAACGTTTCTTTTTCTATGAAAAAAATCAGGTTATGCATCATACAAAACAGGGGACATTATGATGTTATGAACAAAACAGGGGACATTACGATGTTATGAACAAGTTTATGAAGCTAAATTTTTCATGGTACATTGAACATTTTAAAAGTTAATTACTTATTGGTAAGTTAAAAGTTATTTGATTACCAGGTAATCATAGCTTTGGAAAATATGTTCTAGTGGGGTTTTGTGGAGGTTTTTTGTGTGGTTTGTTTTGCGTTTTCAAGCTCTGTTTTGGAAGTTATGAATACACAGGTAAGACTTCATATGAAAGGCCATGAAAGGCGATTTCATAGGAGAAATAGACTTTTGTTTATATTACTGTACATGTTGCTGATTCTCCTGAGGTGTTTTTTTCTGATGATTTTTGGTTTATGAAATAATTCTTATTTTGTTAATAATTCTGTAAAAAAGGTATCCACAGCTATGTACAAAGATGATATGAACATCTTGACCTTGTTGGTCTAGTATCTCATGGCTTTCGAGTGGTGAAGTCTTGCATTTATGGTATTCCTGTGTAACAGGAAGATTATATTAATCCACTTTTAAAGGTGATTACTGAGCCACAAGGAGACTTACCCAAGGCTGTGCAAGTCATCTGTGCTTAAATGGAAAAGTAATGAAAGCTCCCTGAGCCTATTCCCTCCCTCCCAACACACTTCTGACATCAGTGGATAAATGCATGGAGAACTCTGGGTGTCTATTTGCATAGACATATAGACAGAGCACAGATCTGTGCAGAGGTGTTAATCAAAGCAGAGTGCAGTGCATCAGAATGGCAGCTGTTACTCTAATGGGTAGGTTTATTTGCACATAAGTAGATAGGTAAGAGCAGTTTAATTCTTATTGCTACAAGCTTCAGGGTTAATTTAGCTTGTTCTGTTGATAATTATAGAATAATTTTGAAACGTATGAGCAGTCAATGAGAAAATTCCAACATGTGAGTTTTGAAATGATAGCTTCCAAACCATCACATATCCTGTTGAACATGAAGGTGACATTAGGGTTTTAACCATAAGTACTTTTTCATTTAGGAGCTGCATGACTGAATCAATAATTTAAGCTATTATGTAGAGGATTCATTGATATTTTCTTCTGTAAATGCTGGAAACTCAGGGATAATATATATTTTTTTAAATTTCTTCCTTAAAAGGCTTTATTGCAAGAATAAATTTGACTCTTGCCCATGTCTTCTGGAATTTTTGGAAGATCCTAAGCTCAGATTTTTTCAGGAAGGTTGGTCCCATCTCAGGAAGTCCTCTGCTGGCAAATTGTGAATGGTGAGGCCCTCAGTCACGTGAGGTATTTAGGCTGAACACTGCTGTTGCCCAAAACTCTGAGGATTATTGCTGCCCTTAGGATTCCTTCTACTGCAGTTTCTTACAGTAATAAGGTCATCAGCTGTGGGACTGCACCCCTTTACATGATCTGTTTTGCAGTTTATTTTTTCCTCCTTGGTTAGTATATTGTGAAGAATAATGGTGCTTGGAAGAAGAGAGGTGCTTTTGAACACAGGAAGGGGACTCACTGACATGTGAGATGTTTAATATGCATTTACAGTTTGGAACAAGGAAGTGACAGACAAGGAGTGATGGGTGGATTGGAGATAAGGACACAGTTCTCACATAGTATTGATACACAAAGTTGATAAAATTTAATTCTAACCTTTGTTGTTGCATTGCTATGAATTTGTGAGGTGTCCATTTCCCTCACTAGCTGTTCCCATTAATGGTAATGTGGTATGGTGTTTGATCTGTGACTCAGTCATTGCTGAGTGTGGGTTTTTATTCACATTTGCTGTATTTCTCCTGCATCACAACTTTCATTATGTCCAGGGGAATTTGTTCTTTGACTGATTTTAAGCTAGCTGGAATTGCTGTTGATAAATTCAGGAAGTAGAAGTTGAGGCTGAGGTTTTTCTCTAAATGTATTAAGAGTCAAAAACATTTGGTGCTTGTAGTGGATTAACATTTTGACTAAGTTCAAAAGATGCTACTCTCTGTTCTGACCAAAATAGTCAGCTACCAAATGTGTTCTCTCTTGGCCAGCAGTCAGTTGCAAACTGTGCTTCAAATGAGCAAAAATATTTTGGTATCTATACCATTTGTGTCAAAGAAAAGCTCTTGTATGTCAACCACTCTATCTAATGTCACATATGTAGTGTCAATATATAAGGATTTTCAACTTCCTTTTGCAAGCTAATGAGAATCAAGAAAGGCAAAGCAAAAACATGAGTTTAAACAGACTTTATTTTCACCCTTCTGTCTTTTTGAGTTGTTGTTTCTCAGAAATGTTCAAGTTCAGTATTGTGATGCTATGCCTTATAGGCTTCCAACCCAATCAGTGATAAAAATTTATTTTGACATTAGCCCGAGAGAAGAAAAGCTTCATTATTTAGAAAAACAAACAAATGAAAAATTGGACAGAACAACTGAAAAACAAAGCATCTTTTAATTTTCTGAAGTGTTGTAGGATTAAGTTCTTGTTACAGGGGCTAATTAAAGCATTTATCATGAAATTAAAATGTTTAATATTTGAAAATTCAGAGGTAATGGATGAACTTCTTTGGACTATAATTTGTAGGATATAAAAGGATTGAGCATTAAACCTGATTATTTTTCTATTTTTAAAAATTTGCTTGAAATCTGGTAGACTGTACCATCACTATAAATCTACATGCTGCTAACTTGAATTTCAGCACTGAAAGCTATGTATTTTTACCTCTTTTTCTCAGGCTTGGTGTCCTTCTGGGCTCTCCTGACACTTTGGCCCCTAAAATTTCTCCCACAGCCACAGACATAGTGTGGATGTCTACAATTGAAAAAATTATACATATAATAAATGACACCTATTTACTCCTCAAGCAGTAGTTATTTTATGTAAGACAGATTATGTAGGTACTGAGTCCCTTACATAAGGTCTGCTGTGAAGAAAGATTTGCCAAGATGCAGCAAATTTTGCCTCAGAACAGTCTTTCTGATTGTCCTTGGGAACGGTCTTTCCTGCTTTCCTCCAACACATGGTTAGTAGGTGGCAGGACTTGAATCAGTTTAGCTTGAATATTAAAACTAAGAAGCCTTCTGAAACTTTTATATTTCAGCTTGCAGTCTTAGATTTTCATTGTTATTGCTGAGTTTTGTTTATTGTAGTTGCACCTTTAT